CCATCAAAACACGACCGCGCCACCATCACATGATCGGGACACCATCAAAACATGACCGGGACACCGTCACAACACGACCGGGACACCATCAAAACATGCCCGGGACACCATCACAACATGACCGGGACACCATCACAACATGACCGGGACACCTTCAAAACATGACCGGGACACCATCACAATATGACCGGGACACCATCAAAACATGACCGGGACACCATCAAAACAGGACCGGGACACCATCACAACATGACTGGGTCACAATCAAAACATGATCGGGACGCCATCAAAACATGACCGGGACACCATCCGCCCACCAGCTCTGACGGTGACCCGACGGCGCCCGTCCGCCTATTAGTTTTGCAAGACCCCATAGCATGGCTATTGGGGAATAATTAAATCAATATTATATTTATATATTCTATTAATAAATAATATTATTCAAATATATAATGTTTTTAGTATCTATATATTAAAACTTAAGAGGCGGGAGACACGAAAGGTAGGACAGCGGGAAGAGAAGAGAACGCGAGAAGCAGGAACAAAAATGCAATGTTCGACATGGTGATTTATCCCCTCGGAGGCGACCTTTCGTAAATCGTAAATATATGTTTATATGCACTCTAATTGTTCAAACATATGCTCTGGAAATGTTCAACAAGATTTTTAGGAAAACAAACTTGCCCCATGGATCAGATCATCGGTGAGCATTGAATCGGAGCATCATAGGATTTAAACTATCCTAAAACCATAAGAGGCTCACGAAGACGCTCCCCAGGAGAGAATTGACGTGCTTCACAAAACAAACTCTAGGTATGTATCCCCTCGGGGAACACCTTTCGTAATTAAAATTTCATATGCACTCTTTCTAAATGTTCAAAAGGGTTTCAACTTTTCAACTATCCTGCAATCATGAGAGGCTCACGAAGACGTTCTCCAGGAAAGAATTGAATTTAGAGGGGGGGGGTCTGTATTGAAAAGGGGGAGGGGGGTCTGTATTGAAAAATCAATTCGAAGGGGGTGGGGGGGGGGTTTAAATTGAGTGATCAATTATTAGACCCGGACGTCCCAACACTTGCTTCGCAAGACAAACTCAAGGTATCCCCTAAAGGGCTACCTTTCGTGATATATTCGATTCATTTATCGTTATTTTATATTTAAGAAAGGAGGAGGTAAACGAAAGGTAGCAAACAATCACGAATAATCCTAATAAAAATCCATGACGACGTAAATTAGTGCAGGGGGGATTTAATCCAGGTGGGGGGAGCCCCCCAGATGAACAGAATCATTTCTTACAGGACCAAATTCAATGCACAATCCCAATTCCTAATTGTAATACATTTTTGCTAAAGCAAGGAGAACTCAAGAACTCAAGCTACCTTTCGTGATAGATCAAAATTACCATATATATATCGTAATTTAATGTATATTATTTTTTGAATTTAGCTCTTGTAATGAGAAATTGAGCCATAAGTGCTACTTTCCTGCGGGCAATCTAAGAACCAAATTTATCGTACGGATTGAAATTGAAAAGGCAGGACATGGCGCACCCCTCCACGATGTGCCGCGGAAATTGCTGAGGCATCCTGCCATTCCAGATTCACATCTCAACGCAATCAAATGCAAGGGGCATAAGAATCATGACATCGACATTGGATTCCTTTCGCAAGACCGGAACAGAAACGCTATTCAAAAGCAAACAGCTTGAGAACATGTTCACCAAGATATATAACAGATTGTAAGTGTCCTTCCGAGCACCTTCTTCTGTATAGTGCATGACTGTCCGAGTTGCTTTGTCCCCAACTCCACCAACTCGAACCTCCCCATAGTCAAAAATGCCTTTGATGGCAATCGCCAGCGCGGGAAGCGTCATAGAAGGGACCCAGCCCTTCTGCGTGAGTGGTTCGAAACATATTCCACCACGTTCAAATACGTAACCACCGCGGAGTTGAGGGTACAAAACTCGAGCAAATGGCGGTTCCATTGGAAAGCCATCAGGCAAAATTATTTCCAAATCAATGCACGCATCCAAGCCATGTTTCTTCAAATCAGCCGCCAGCTTCCCATCAGGATTCAAGTCTTTCAGCTGCACAAACCATTTGGACAAATTGTCCTTGTCCTTCAAGCTAAAGTTGTAGCCAGATCTTTGGGCCTCAGCAAGGCCTTCGGGACTAAGAAGTCGTCTTGCTTCCCCCATCGTCCTCTTGACAAACTTCATCGGTTTGCCATCGAGTTTGACGAAGGACAAATCGACGTTCTCGCTCTGAGTGACACTTTGAGTGTCGCTCTTCACTTCGCTCTTTCCTTCGCTCTTTGTTTCGCTCTTCACTTCGCAAGGGCTCTCAGTACTGGCAGACTTTTCACCGACGGTCGCCGCCTCACTGGCCTCATGTTGTACCCTTTGGTGCTTTGCAGGAGGTGCAAGCAACACTTCATCTGCAGGTCTCTTCTCGCCGTTGCTTTGTTCCAGTTTTGTGCAATAGCCATTCTTTATGTCTGCAGTGATGTCACTTCGCGAAGCTCCAAATTCAATTGCCTCAGAACGCTGCACTTGGCAATTCAGATCAAACGAAGACCCTCAAGGCAAATCCAACAACATGAACATTCCAACACTTTGAGATACTTTGAGAATGCCTCGGCGACTGTTTTAGCCAGCTTGTACCGCTCATAGCGTTCGTGCGCCTTCAGCGTTGGTGCTGGGAAAGGGGCTAGGAATTACATTGCACTATCTCAACGAACTCATCAAAATTCATCAATATTGATATTTTCTATGAGTGACTAGGTGCGTCTCACCTTGGTCCCTGCACGCTTGGGATTCTCAGCACAGAAGCTGATCTGCGTGCCATCCGGAAGCTTGGGCGGCATTCCTAAAGCTGTTGCGTCTCGCTTCCTGACGATTCCTTCTCATATGTTCTTGTCTGGAGGAGGGAAGCTTTGGACATCTCCAGAACCATCTAGAGACTGTTTTGCACACTTAGACTATCGCTTGGTTCTGGCTGGAGGTTCAGACTGGTGATTAGAGCGAAAACATGCTGAGGACTCGACAAAGCAGGAATCTGCAAATTGAACACGTATGAGCATATGTCGTTTTTCCATGTGTTTCCTTTCCAAGCCTGTGTGCGTGCGCATGTGAGGTAAGTGCAAGCATCCATTGACCAGCTTCAATGCTCATTTTCCCCTTCTCTGCACAAACTTCGGACGAATGCCGAAGAGCTCACCAAAGCTGCACATACATGCAAATCTCTGGGTGCAAACTTTCATAAATCCTACATCCTAGGAAAAAATCTGCACAGAATTCTAATTCTGTTGGAGCTTCACACGAGCTCACCATGTTCTTCCCCTAATTAGGAAGGTGACTCCAAGAGGCCAGACCTTCGCATGATGGAAACCACTGGAATCGCAAAGGGCCAAGTGACCTCAAAGGGAAGGGGAGAAGTCACACCTAGGGATTGGCTCAAATACACTTCCAATTCAACTAGCTCATTCTAACTGTTTTGATCTCCATCAGCAATTATCTCTGTTTGCACACGCTCTGTGGAATCGGATCCAAAAGCATCCTATCGGATTCCTATGGTCTTGTCGCAGCCAAGCTGTGAGTGGCAAAGCTCTGAGCTCTGAGTTTGCAGCCCACAGTGTTAGGAAGAAGTAGTATGCAGGACTCTTGAGCCGCTCCTACGGTCAACATTAACAACTTATTCTCCTTCTCTGCTTCTGCTTAAGATTGCCTCTGATCTTCTCTGACACAGTCCATCACAGTCCTCCCAATATTCAGAGGCCCATGATCTGAAAGCTCGTTCCTCAAGGAACGTCACATGGTAGGATTTTCGTGAAGTCCATACTTCTTCTCAACAAGTATGTCTCCTGGGTAGAGAGGTTCAGGTTCAAGGGCCTCCGCCTACCAGAACTCACTGATCTGGTCATGTCCTTGGACTGCAAATTTGGAGATTCAACTGACTCAGTTGATCCTTCGGAACAGCTCTTTGCAAAAAGAACCAATGACATTGGTCCTTGGGAAGATTGAAATTGTCCTCCCACACCTTGCCATGCACACTGTGGATGGCTACAATTACTGAAAGAAACATCGACAAATTTCAACAACAGGTGCAAAACTCTTCGTTGCACACCTTGTGAAACTCTTCATTTCGCTGATCTGGCAAGTCCACATTCATCACCTGAGATGCTTCTTTTTCACAACAGCGCTCCCTTGCGATTCTTGTGCTCTGTTCGCTTCAATGTTTACGTGCCCCTCTTCACAAGGCCAACATGTTGGCTACATCAGCGACATCTTAGAGAATGACATCCATGATGAACTGCGCTTGGGCCTCACAATCTTTCTCAAACATTGCTCATAGAATGGTAAGAAATCCAGGAAGGGCGCTTCAGGAGCAGCCCGTGAGGGCTCATATGTCAAATCCAAAAACGATACCAAGTTAAGCTTCAAATGGCTAAATGGTAGCGCCTTTCGGTCTCTGCTGACTGTGGCACGGCTGACTTCTTGTAGCACATTCATGGCCTCACGATCAAGAGCAGCTCAGCTCAATGTAATGATGAAGCCACAAGAAAATAGGTGGCCGGAACAAACAAGGTTTGAACAAGATGTAACGGCATTCTCTGTGCCGTGTTGAATTCGCCTGGCTTGGCCGTGGTGTCTATATATATATATCAACTTAATGTCAACCAGATCTGTGCATACCTGATCTGTCAGCTCCATCGCTCTGATTCAACATACCCACGAGCTCCAGTAATAACAGTCGCTCCTAAATGTTAAATGATGCGCTTTCTTGCTGCAATATCTAGCTTGTCGGTTGTCGTTCCTTTCCCTAGGGTTTACAAGGTGTGTGTGCTCACATTACAAGCGCAAGAGGATCATGTTTAGCAATTGGTTTCACAGAAGTACCTGAAAACATTGCATCCAAACTACTATGAACTGTATATCACCCAGATTGGGTTTTATCCAACAGGTGCATTGAGAACACCCTTTACTTGTGAAACTTGCAACACTGATAAAACAAATTAGAAAGACTGTAGTGACTGCTCTCAATGGCACCAAAGAAGAATTGCACCTCGTCCTTCCTGCCGACTTTTTGGAGGCATATTGCTATGTACATCTCAGCCTCCTGTCGATGTCAAGTTGGGCACATTTCTGATGCTAATGAAATGATAGATAGACATTTGATGATTCGATCTTGAACGTTAATTCTAAGATGTGTTTTTCAATATTTTGCGGAAGGGTCCTCCATGAGCTTCTCTCCAGCAACACGCGTTTGAGCGACATCCTTCCAAAGAATAGAACCGTGGCTTCGAACAACGTAGCTCTGGACAGCAAAACCCCCCGCAATGTTCTCCTTCCGGACAAACATCGTTTTTAATTATGATGAAGACTCAAAGCATGCCAGCGACACACGCACCAGTAAGAGAAGATCCAAACATTCTTGGTAACGATAGGCCTGGCCCATCACTGGCAAAATTGGCTTAAGAGAAGCAACATCTATGTGTCCTGCAGTTCTCGGTGCATGCCGCGTATGGCCTCTTGAAGCTTCAGGGCAAGTGTTATCGCCACCTTTACCCAACCGGCCTGCAACCATAGAAGCGCACAATTGAACAAAATCATTAAGCTGGAGTGAAACATATTATGTTGGTTGATTTTTGTGATCGGTCAGCTTGCAGTTGAACTGCAATAGCTTTCTCTTGCTGAGGTAGCTATCTTGATGCGGGGGCCACATGTCTTTTTAAAGCTCTGCGGGCTCATAGATTGTAACACACCCGGATGGCCCGAATACCTAATCCTGTTGCAATTCAAAAAACCTCAACAACTGTCCAAGTGAAGTATTGGATAGTGTAAGTATCTTAATTGTAACATCATGTAACATCGAAGCAATGGCAATTCGCTTTGCCTGGGCTCTTCTTCGCACGGCTGGGTCAGCAACCCGCATCCTTCGTGTCACAGGCGAAACGGCAAATCCCAGGGACACAGGATTTGTGGATTTGCAACGGATGCCACCTAAGCCTTACACAAACCTAAGAAATACTGCCTCAAACCTAATAGCGATGACCTCCAACCTAGCACAGTCAAGGCCTCAGAATATCATAGGTGTTGAAGGCCAATGTCAGCCTGTAAGGTTGTTTTTCAAATCTTGTGCCAGCAAAGACAGCACAAATTGCACAAGAAATGCGACCAGTGACACTGCACAAGCTGTACGACAAGCACTCTGCCAGCTGACCCTTCTTTGATATCTGTTGCTAGAGCACATGCAAATTCCAATTCACGTGGGTTCTAGTCAGTTCAATGCTCTGGCAGGGTGGAACATGCAATACTTATACAAAGCACTCAGCTGACGCTTTCCCCTTCAAGGGCCATAGTTCAAGTTCGGAAGGCCTCCCAGAGCGTGCATAAACTCCAGCAAGTCTTTCACACGCCTGGCGTTGTTGCGCTTGAACAAAAACAAAGGCTGAGAACTAAAAATAGCACTTGCCCAAATGATCCCAAATGGCAATCCAGCCCGAAGCCAAGCTTTTATCCTGGAGCGAATGTTCACCATCCTTCCACCAACCACATGCCATTCGCAGTCACAGCCGCGAGGAAAACACAATGGCATTCATAGCCAGCCATTGTGGGAGACATGACTGATACGTCACAGCAGGAGACACTGCAGCAGCGAGACACAGCTGTTTTGCAGTTACAAATCCATCTACAAGCCATCAGTGGCAGCAATGCAACCTGAAAGACTCGGTTGGCAGCCAATCGAAACGGATCGTTTTTGTAGTTGTGAGAATTGTGAATCCCTACATCCCTACAGCTTCAAGCTTTTGCACAATGTTCTTCCAGCATCGTTTGTCTCCCAAAGCATGCTAGGCCCTTGTGTTTGGCGTCGGTTCTCCTCCAATCTTTAAGTTAAAGCTTTGTCGTTTCGATTGCTGTTCGGTATTTACCAACATGAACACCTCAACTTGGTCTCTCTTGTTGGTAGCGTTCACCTGCTTCTTGTCCTAGTAGTATGGCCAGGAGCCCCTAGTAGCTTCTTGTTCCTAGTGGTACGGCCAGGAGCCCCTAGTAGCGTCCTTGCTCCTAGTAGCGATGTGTCTGTTGTTGCTGCTTGAATAAGTGCAATCATTATAAACATAGCAATCCAGGTCAGGCTCAAGATAGATCAGATGATACCTTGAGGATGGCGACTGTATTGAAACACATCCCTGGATGCAACAGTCGTTCTGAACAGTTCGGTGTAGAGGCTAGCCATGAGCGTGAGTCAATTGCAGGCGAACCTCAATTTGTTTGTAGACCTAAATAACTTGGCCAATCGTGTAAGTTGACAACCCGCAATGTGCGGATCTTCACGCCTCATCGTCATATTCCTGAGCAACTTTGTAGTCCAGCTTGCGCTCCATTTGCTCCTCGAACACGCAGTTCTGCTTGTTATGGCTCTTGTTCAGGACAGTCCTGCCTTGCTAATTCTATCGCTCACCATCTCCAACAGCTCTCCAGCCTGAGCTCAAACCCAATGTGGGAAGCTTGACAGAACTAGGCAAACCCAGCCCCGGTCATTCTCCTGTGCTGTTCTGGCCTTACTGAAATCCTGAGCAGCTTCAAACTCAATAGCAGCATCTAGCAGCTGCCTCGATGTTGCTACCCCTCCAGCTCCTGCAATCAGGTGAAACTGGAGGACTGAAAGCGAGCTGAGGTGCTTTCCACATCGTTCCTCTCCAGCGCGAAAAAAAAGAGAGGCAGCTACCGTCAGCTGTCCAGAAAGTTCAGTCTCGGCCACGGCTCGGGCATCATCGCTGACTTCGAGCGGCCCTGCCAAGCTTTTCTCGACCCAAACAGAGGAAACAGTTCAGGCTGAGAGTGTGGGCATAAGTCTAGGGAAAAGACCGTCAGCTTTTCTTCTTCCCCTTTGCAAACACAGATACGAACCGTCGCAGCGTTCCTTGGTTCGTCTAGGGCGCGGGCACTCTGGCGGTCCTTTCAAACGCCCATTCTTCCTCAGTGTGCGCCGTTCATTTGCGTGTACTGTTTGGGAATGCCGCTGGCATAACACTCTGAACCTGCGGGAGCTGGGGTCTTGCTGGACCCCTAAAGACCGTAGAATGGACAGTTGGCTGCCTTGAGATGTGCGAAGACCAGTTTTGTTTACAAAACGGATTCTCGTCCATACACCAACCATGCCCTTCCAGTCAGATCCGTGACGTTCACATATAAACGAGTTATACGATGTTGCAAGATTTGCAAGAGGGTAGGATTCGGGCTGCATTTTGTGAGACCCAAGCGCATCCAATAACGGCGAATGAACCGATGCTGTGCACCATGTTTTCACATTAGAGAGGCAGCTGATGTTTAAACTTGAGGCCAGAGGGGGTGAACGAAAGCTAGCCGGGCTTCCGGTGGTCTGCTGCTGGTGCTGCTGCTGGTGCTGCTGCTGCCGCTGCTGCGCTGGGCGCTGCTGCGCTGGGTGCTCTGCAGGCGCCGGGTCGTCTGCTGCTGCTGCTGCTGCTGGCGCTGGGTGGTCTGCTGCGGCTGCTGCTGCCGCGGCGTTGGGTATGCTGCTGCTGCTGCTGCCGCCGCTGGGTGGTCTGCTGCTGCTGCTGGTGCTGCTGCTGCTGCTGCCGCTGCTGCGCTGGGCGCTGCAGATGCTTGGTGTGCTGCAGCTGCTTGGTGGTCCCGCTCACCGCGCGCAGGGGGGAGTCGAACCGCGGGGGGGGGGGGGGGTCCATAAGATTGATTTAATCAATTATTTGAGGTTTCTGAGGTGCGTCCACCCCGTCACTTAACTTGCTAAAGCAAGAGCAACTCCAGCTAGCTAAGGCTAGCTTTCGTGAAAAGCTGTTTGAGCCTCAGTTCAAGGACGAACCCCCTAGGGCAATTTTGAGGCAGGTCCCAAACTGTTCACTAAACAGAGTTAATCCACTATATAGCCATAACCTTCCAGTGCAACCAGTACCACACGCCAAGCCACAGGGCCCTCTCCGGACGGCGTTGAGCTGGACTCCTGTGACGGACGATCAAGGCACATCAGAGCCTGCCGCAGCTTGCCAAACCCTCATGGGCACCTCTGAGTCAGGGCTCCCGCTTCCGGCTTCTTCAGCTTGGCTCGCTTCTCGATCTCCACTTGGAGCCTTCCCATGTTTTGCTGTTGCCCCCACAGCTTTGCAATTTAGACAAAAGCGAGTTGCATGCGCTCCTTGAATCGGTTCTTTTTCCCCTTAAGAACCTGAGGCGCAAGGTTTCACACCATGTTACACGTCATATCTGAGCAAAGAGAGTATGAACATTCACAGGAACCAGTTGAACTATTCATGCTGTCATAAGCTGTCAACTTCTATCTTGCGCCGAACTTCCATGAGCCGAAGCTTTTTTCGCTCCTGGAGAAGCGGCCACAACTGCTTACATGGCAGGAGAAAACCAATGTTAGCTGCGTAAGCGACATGGAATGTAAATAATGTAAACTGCGAAGGGCTGTGAGGTTTCCTGCTCGGTCTTTTTCAGCTGTCGCAAACGATTGGCATTGCGCCCGATGTTGATTGCAGCATCGACTTTTCGGTCACCTACGGAGAAGTCCAAAGATCACGATAGATTGATAAACTTGAAGTCCGCTACTAGCAACAAGGGCCTTACTACTAGTAACAAGAAACTACTAGTAACAAGGTGCATCGCTACTAGTAGCAAGGACGCTACTAGTAACATTGTTTGGAAACAACCAATCCTGGCAATCTGAGGAGCCTGCCGTAAGGGAGTGCACGACGAACAATGCGGCGTCTCAGTTGAAGCACTATGGCAGAGGCACCAATGACACAAGACCTGACCATGAGCCAATAGAATGGCTTCAACTCATTTCCGATAAAAAAAAAAAAGATAAAAAACAAAAAAACACAAGAACTGCAAGCATACATGTGCCTCAAAGCACCTCTACTTTTGGAGGCATCGCGAAAAGTAGATGCCTTTCCAACTGGAACCTCGCAAAGTCAAACAAAACCTATACACTATTGACAGAATGGGACATTGAGTGTACACAACCTCTCTCTAGTGGTTTTTCTGGTGGATTCTGTTCCTCTGGATGACCTTCACAAAGGGATCTCTGCCCTGATTGATCTGCCTGTTCAATTGGTGTATGATCCTTTTGGAAGGTGTTGTGTGCATCCATTTAGCGGCATGTCCTTTCGACATCATTTCAATTTTGGTCTAATTATATAACACGGTGTCGTGATACTGTACTTTCGGTTGTAAGTGCCAAGGTGTCATTGGTGTCGTATAGGAGCTTTATATAAAGCTAGTATATACATCGGGCTAGTAGATTCACGGCGTTGTTTTCACTGCTTGCTGTCACTGAACTGATTGGCAAAAATTGCATATAACTATACAACTTAAAATCCAAACTTGTGGTTGAACCCTGTTCAGCTCTTCTGCGTGAATTGATCTTCCCTACTTAGGGCCAAACCTCAGCCAGGCTTCTTTCCTCAAACCTCGCCAAAGCCAAGAAATGTGATGGTTTCACGGTTTACATCATCAAAGCGGGAAAGTGAAAGTGTGGCCTCACAGTTGAAGCAAGGTAGCTGGACCTCTCACATTTGTGGCAAACCAGAGGTGGGACAAATTGCGAGTGGGTCAATGAGTCAACACCGAACATCCTGTGCCATTTTGGATGAAGCAAGGGCCTTGAGATCTTTTCGACCGATGGTACATGGCGGAAACTGGGAGAACACGGTGGGCACCACGCCTTGGCACTTGGACAGAGGCAGGCCTTCCACAAGCCTCGAGGCATTCAGAACTTCCACATTTGCGTAAACAATGAGTTGGCAATATGCCTGCATCATTCAACGCACCATGCAAAGTGATGTCTCTGATGTGTCCTACTACTTCTTGTCTTGTTTCTTTGGGTTGCAGTCGCTACAATATCGTGAACAACGTTGGTACATGTCAAATTTACCAGGAATGCTTGAGTTCGTGCTCATGTGCTCTCTTGAACTGCACATTGCATAAGGGCCACAAAAGCAGCCCTCATTGAAAGGCCCACTCACACAATCTAATAACGCAGCTCTTATCAAGCTCAGCTGTTTGGTGCTGTTTGATGCATCGAGGCAAAACCTGTAATCGACAATGGACGTTTTATCCAAGCGATCAATAGCAAGGCGCAATAGCAAGGCGCAGCGGCTATGGTGACAAACTGGTCAGCAAGCTTGCTCTCACGCATCCAATGCTCAATTATCACTTGGCCTGCAGCAATGTGACTTTGTTTTGCATACCAATGCTACAAACCGCTCTGCCTTTTGCTTCGCTCTACCCTTGGGCTTTGCAAAATCACTCCTGAACCACGGGAGGCCGTGAACAGGAGAAGCTTCGGAATCCAGGGCATGCAGTCGTGCGGACATCTAACAATTAATGACAGTAACAAGGGCATCGCGATTAGCAACAGGGGCATTACTACTGACAAGCTAGAAGCTACTAGTAACAAGGGTATTGCAAAATAACAGTAATTAATGACAGCTGGCCTTGGTGTGACTGTGCAATTGAAAACCATTCTGGACGTGGCTTCTGTAGCCTTCCGACCAACAAGCGGCAATGACAGGGCTATGTCACATAGGAATTCAATCAATATCTTCCATACATGTGAAACTTCATACTTCATAAAGATTCAAGTAATTGGGCCTTCCGATCCAGTGCAAAAAAGCCACATCGCTCAAACTGGACCTCGCTCGAAGACTCAGGGGCTCTCAGGAAGCATCAAAGCGTTTGATAACAGAAACATGAAACAATGCAGTATATACAATAGCACACATAATGTGTGCGTCACACCTACATTGAGTCTTGGATTGGTTGAACAATGTATAACAATGTTGAACTCTCACTTGGGTAATCTTGGGTAACTAGTGGCGTTGTTGGTCACAAGCTTGGTGCCCATCAATGTATATTATAGTTCTGACCGTTTTGTTCTTCAACCAAAAAAGTAAAACCTACATTCACTGTCACTGTACCGAACACGCCAACTGCAATGCGGTCAGGATGCTCTGAAGATTGGATCCTCAGACTCCTCCTGTAATTAAGCACAAAATGAACCAAAAAGGTAAGAACTACCAGTAGCATCCTTGCTTCTAGTAGCGATGCCCTTGTTACTAGTAGCGATGCCAGGAGCTACTAGTAGCGTCCTTGCTCCTAGTAGCGATGCCCTTTGTTGCTAGTAGCTTCTTGTTCCTTGTAGTAAGGCCAGGAGCTACTAGTAGCGTCCTTTTAAAAAGCTGAGACGAATTGCAACGTTGGCCTGGTGTTTTTTCCACATCGCTGAAATGCTGGGCTCACATCGGGCACCTGCAGCCAAACAATGACCGACAACGCGAAGCGTGAATTCTACGGAGTGTTTTTTCAAGCTTTCACGAAGCAAAGAAAAGCTCAGCTGTGAGCTGGTCAGCTCTTTGCAGGAGTCTCCCGAGAGCGCATCAAGAAAGTCACCTGCTTCCTCGCCCGAAGCATTGGAAAAGCATCGAGAAGTTGGAAACGCATTTGAAAAGTCCTCCGGCCGCGCATCGGAGAAGAGATTGTCATACATCCGCACAGTGACAGGTGCTGACCTGAGTTGCACCAAAATCACACAAACCACTCTTGAAAGAATCAATGATTCATGGACGAGGCCACCACTGTGTAGCATGAGCCCAGTGGATCACCGCCACTTTCTTCGGCGGCCTTTAGGCAGCGAGACTAGAGACGAAAAACATTCTCCAGCAACGAGTCCAGCCAAAGCCGTACCTCTTCCCCAAAGACTCCGGGTCGTAAGAGCAGCGAAGCTCCTTGATGTCTCCATCGGAACCTCGAATGACCTTTGCCAAAAAGAAACAAAACAAACACCCTCCAACCTAGTAGCCTCTTGTTAACCGTACTAGTAGTAATGGCCTTCACCCTAATAGCGATGGCCTCCAACCTAGTAGCTTCTTGTTACTAAGAAGCTTCAAAGACCACACGAATGGAGGAAACAAAGAAGAAAGTGCTGCAACACGCATGCCTCGTCACAAGTGATCACATAGCTGTAGCGGAGCTTCACCTGCCAACACATTTTTGTGCAGAAAAGCATCGGGTGACAAAACGCCACGCAAAAAAGATCTGAAGTTGAGTCCTGCCTTTCTTCCTGGTGCAAGTCGCTTAAAGTTCGGTTCTGGGTCTTCTTGGAAGTCCTTGTAAGCTGAAGCAAGCCTATCCCTACTCAAGCTCAAGGCATCTGTTGACATTCCTTTGCCCCTGTCCTCTGCATCCAACAGAATCTCCTGCAATCACTTGTTCAATTGGTAACCTTCTTGTCTGTCAAAGGGACGCCAAACCTTGCCAAAGTGCATCTGTCGGGCTTCATCACCTGGCACCTGGGAGATATTTAAAGGAAAGTGTGCTTGTTCTTTCCAAATTGATGTTTGTTCGCATCAAAACCAGCTCTTTGCTTTCTTGCAATTGTTTCTCGCTCTTTTGACTTGTTCTTCACTTTCGCCGGCTCACCTCCAGAAGCTCATCCTCAAGAACAACACTGTTACTCTGTACTGCCAGCTTTCAAACCATATTTCACGCGTGCCAGTCCTCACCAGACCAATTCGTTATGGTCACCTTGGAGTCATTTTACACCGGCACGAAATGCATGGATTGATACAATTAAAAATGCACAAGTGAATGTACATGCAAGAATCACAACTTCCCAAAAGAATTCGTTCGTACTTCTCACAAACGACACCAGGCTATGTTTGCCAAGGCCTTTGCGTGTTCGAGCTGGCTGGAAGCTTGTTGTTCGGTTTGTCTCCACTCTATTGGCGCTTTTCCCAAGGTTCACAGCAGAAATTGGTTTGAAAGATCTGTGGGACAAGCTGACTTCCTTAGATACATGCACACCCTTAGGTGCGTGCTTTTTCTTGCATCCGTAGCCAAAACAAACAATTATTCAGTATATATTGAGAATGAAAAGGTCCGCCCTAACCAAAGTCCTCTGAACTGCTAAAGGGTGAGAAGGAGGAGGCTTTCGAAAGCTAGATGCGAAAACTTTGCTTGAGAAGAAAACCTCAATCCTGAGCGAGAGCATATCATCAAAGGCTAGCAGCGAAAGGACATTCCGTTCACTGCATTTGACGTCAAATAATGATAGAACAAAGCAACAAAGCTACAAACAATGATTCACTAAAGGACTCCAAAATCGTGGAAACGAAGCTGAACACAGAAATAGAATGAAGAAGGGAGCGAAGATGTGCAGCATGTCCACCGTGTCCACAGTCCTTGTCTTGGCCTTTCAGGTTGAGCGGTGTTCCTCCCTCTTCTGCATCTTCATGCTTTGTCTGAACTAAGCCAGTTTAGCCTCTAGCTGATCCGGTGGCTTAGTACGATCAGTTCTTCTGGAAGCAACGTTCTTTGCATCTCTTATGGTTTCAGCGTTCTTTTAGCGAGGTTGGGGCAGGCTGAATGGAGAAGCAAAGTCAAGAACCTATCTGGTGGGTGTGTGTCCAGGTTGACCCCTCCAAACACTATGGCTTGGTCTTGACCTTTGCTTGGGCTGTTCTTCAGTCTCGACGACTTGAGATTGTGTGGAAGGTCAGCCCTTGACTAATGCTGACGTAGGAGGGTCAAATGAATGCTTGAGTGTCAAAGCAATGAAGGGGACAGCAACGTGGAGGCAAGAATCAACGACACTGGGGGGCCGCAAAAGAGACAATTGCTTCTAAGAATCTTGGCTGACGGCTGACCTACTTCTGAGCCGGCTTTCCGGATAGTTCAAGTAAATTGTTTTCCCCCAGCAAGAATTGATTGGCATGTTGCATCATCACAGCCAATGATGCAAGGCTTGCTTGGCCAAGTTCAAAGAAACGGTAAGTACCGCACAGGTAGAGGGCGAAGGACACACAGTGCTTTTGCCGCCACGGTCTCCTTGTGCATCAAATTCAATTCTGTGTGGATACTTGTTTGACATTTGCCTTACATTTCTGGGACTCATTCAGCTGCTTTCCTGTAATGCATCACGGACGCAATTCTCGAGGAGGCTCAACTCAATCACGCTGGTAGGAACCTGGAACACACAAAAACACATAGAGCTGCTTCTCTGTTGCGTGTGAGAAACAACTTGAGGGAATTGATCATAGAGGTTCACGCCATCACGCCACTCTTCTGCTCTAGGAATGAACAGTACTGACCAACATCTTGGATATCCCAATGCCTTGGTTACGCCGATGAGCTCACAGAGCTTGCGCAAAGCAGCAGGGGGATAGCCTCGCCGCCTGAATGGCACATCAATCATGTGAAACAGCCAAAGGAACTAGCAACTATAATGTCAACTAAACTATGTACTCACAGAAATTTCACAGATTCACATCCTGCTTGCATGGTGTTGTGGTCGCACAAGCAAGACATACAAAATCCCAAAACCCTGCCGCATGCCAGAGATGGTCGGCATCCGAGGATCATCCCAGCCATCAACGTATTCTCCCTGAGTTGAATCAACACTCCAAGCGAACTCAGAGACGGTTCAAAACATGCAAAATTCAATGAAAAACGTGCCTCCACCAACCTCCTGAAAAACCAAGTCGTCTTTGATTGATGAGTGCAAAACAAAAAACTGATGCAAATGGCTACACATCTGCAAACCCAATGGACTACTGACCACTGTATGTGCTTGCGCAACTGTTGCCAGCTCTGCAGTTAAGCGGCTTCAATTTCCGTTTCCTGGGCAGCCCCACCATCAATTCACATCAATCAAAGCATTAAACGAACGGGGCAATCGACAACTGACACGCTTCATCCTGTGCATTTTCCTGCCCGATTCCAGTCAACGTGTCGCTGCGTGCAAAAACATCAGAAAGCAGGGAGCAATGCCTCACGAGAAAGGAGCAAAAGGCAAACAATATATGCATATATATATATACAGTGTATACTTGTGACTGGAGGAGACGAAAGCAGGCCGCCGTAAAAGATATCAATGTGGTCAGGGGGGTGAATGCGAGATCCCTGGTGGGCTCCCCACCTCTTTTCCTATCACATCCTCCCCCGCTATGCCTGTCCTGCAAATGAACTCCCACTCCATATGCAGAATGCAGCGGGCAAGCTTTGAGTTGCTTGGGGGCGCCCTTTTTTATGGTGAAGAGGTCATCTCTTCCACATGAACTCCCACCCCATATCAGGGCCTTTTTGCGTGTGGTTGGCAGGCGTGCGTCTTGGCACCCACAATCCACAAGCGACTCCAAGGTTTCTTGCGCCTATCACGTCCTCCGCTATGCCTGTCTTCCACCTTCCCCACAGCATTCTGTTCCCTCTCTTGCCCTCACAGATCACACAGTGTCTTAAGAGACACACACGTCCTTTTCACCCCTAGTCGAACACAGTTTCAATCGCTCCCTTTTGTGGAGGAGTTCCAACCCTCCAGCAACCTGTTTCCACCACGTGCACAGCCAGCTCACAGCACCAGCGCCCGGCACCGGCGCCCGGCACCCTGTCTCCACCACATGCACAGCCAGCACCAGCGCCGGCACCCTGTCTCCACCACGTGCACAGCCAGCTCACAGCACCAGCACCGGCGCCTGGCGCCCAGCACCCAGTGACCAGCACCGGCACCCGGCACCCAGCACCAGCACCGCCAGCACCGGCACCCTGCACCCAGCACCAGCACCAGCACCAGGCACCAGCACCGGCACCAGCCCAGCGCCAGCACCAGCACCGGCACCCGGCACCAGCACCGGCACCCGGCACCAGCATGTCTCCACCACGTGCACAGCCAGCTCACAGCACAACTCATTGTTATTTGAAGTAAGAACCCCATAGCTTCGCTATCTGGGGAAAAACAAAATACCACAAAATATATCCATATCAGTGAGCGAGAGTGAGGCCACGAAAAGCCAACAAAAGCCAAAAGCCACCGAAAGCCAAAGCCACCAAAAGCCAAAAGCCACAAAAAAACGAAAAGCCACCGAAAGCCAACCTTCCTTCCTGCCCTCCTGCCTGCCTTCGTTCCATCCTGCCTCCCTTTCTTCCTGCCTTTCTTATCTTCCTTCTTTCCTTCCTTCCTTGCTTCCTTGCTTCTTGCTTCATCGCTTCCTCGCTTCGTTCCTACCTTCCTACCTTCCTTCCTTCCTTGCTCCCTTCCTTTCCTCCTTCCTTCCTTTCTTGCTTCCTTCCATTCTTCCATTCTTCCATTCTTCCTTCCTTCCTTCCTTCCTTCCTTCCTTCCTTCCTTCGTTTCTATTTATGCTTGTTTGGTTGATGCATTTTCCCAAGCAATTTCTTGCTTGGGCTCTATCTTAGAAAAAAGAGCTGGCCGCACTGACTGGCCGCACCCCTGGATTCTGTGGCCGGGCTCTGTGGCCGGGTCTTGTCCTCCTCTGTCCTGCTCTTCTCTTGTCTCCTCTTGTGGCCGAACAAGTAGCGATGTCGATGCCGACAAAAATCATTGATTAAGCAATTTGCTCTTGGGGGGGAAGGTAGGGCGTACCAAGAAATCGTTTTTGACTAATATTGGCCCCAACGAATGGTTTTGAAATTGTTTGGGGTCTATGCTGGTCGGTATAAGTGTTTTCTTTTTGATGCGTCTCCCGCTACTCTAACCAATTTTCTTTCCCCCAAGTCCCTTTTGAAGGTCCCTCTGACCTCGGGGAACTGCCCTCACTGAGCCGACACTCCGTGTTCACTTGACTTCACGCATATTTCTGCAATTGCAGTATTCATATAAAACCCTCAGTCGTAAGGAACTCTTGCAGCTAAGCATCGAAACGACGATATTCGTCATCTCCAGTCGGGCGAACTCGTGCTGCCTCCCACTGCGCTGTGCTCTGCTGTGCTTGGAATGCTGGTGGACGGCGCAATCCAGGTGCCTTGGAAGTGCGTCAGGTGGACGGCACAATGGCAAGGAGTCGTCGTCCAGACTGAGGACCTTTTCGTTAAACCTCAGAAGTCGACCACCACGAGCAGGGGAGAGAGAGAGAGAGTATATAAGAGACTTGACTTGATTGACTTGATTTGCTGGCCCAAGCAGTAAACCATGACAATCTCATTATATTCATTAGGTTGCGAATATATTTCTGGATTTTTTCGTTTTTTTTTTTAAATTTTTTTGTTTTTCGTGTTTCGTGGCAGGTGCAGTACTTTGTGGACCTTGCAAAGCACATTTCGTGGCAGGTGCAGGACTTTGTGGGCCTTGGAGTGCAGAGGACTTTTTGTGGGCCTTGAAGTGCAGATTTCGTGGCAGGTGTAGTACTTTGTGGCCCTTGGAGTGCAGATTTTGTGGCAGGCGCAGGACTTTGTGGACCTTGAAGTGCAGATTTCGTGGCAGATGCAGGACTTTGTGGGTGTGGAA